TTTTAAACGATTTGAGTTTCCATCTAAAATGAAACGCCAATCACTTTAGATTTAGATAGTTACTTTGAATGCATATTATGATGCTGATTGCACGCCATTTGTCAAATTATAGCAAACACTCGATTAGTGGTTACTATTAAAATATGTATACTTTGAAAATGTCTTTTAAGTTCCTTATGTAAAATTACAGTTATTATTTAATCGTTTAACTACATTATATGTTTATGTTGATAGGTATAAATTATAAATAAATAGATTATAAAAAAAACAGAATAAACGAAAATTGCATTTTATTTACAATACCATAACTGATGTGTTCATTTTCCTTATATTTACAAATGGAATTAAACTATGGTAAAAATGATGTAATTATGTTTTAAATAATTTATTGTAAGTTTTTTTCTTTCTACTTAATATAAACGTACTTTATATACCTTTAATTGTAATAAAAATATCAATGACAAACTTTTATATGCTAAAACATTAACAAACTTGCAACATATGAAATATCATAATTCTTTTCTTGCAAAATTTTGTTTATAACAAATTTTTTTTTTTTGAAAATGGATATTTCAAAACTTTGTTACACAATATCTTATTTCATAGCTTCAAATTAACTTCAAATATCTATTATAATCTTTACGACATTATTCTTCATAAATGTAAGAGCGCCTTCAAATTAGATGCTTGTAGAAGCTTGTAGTCTGTTGCCCTTCAGTAATTTTTAACTGACTTGAAAAAACAAATTAGGAGACTTTGAATTCGACTGTATTTTTTTATTTGTATGTTACGCGATAAGTCCGACATTCGTGAACCGATTTAGGCGATTCTTGTTTTGTTGGAAAGAAGTATTGGTCCCATTCAAATTTGAAGGAAATGTTTCACGTTTTCCGGTAACCGATTTCAACAAGATCTGGCAAATAGGTGTAATTCCGCGAACTTTTTTATAAAAATGTTATTTCACTAATTGTGACTGCAAAAGTGGCGCGCGTCATTACAGTGTCATTACAACTGCGCTTCTAGATATTGTATGAAAATTAGTATTGGCGCGGCTACAGTGGTGCTACTGCAGCGCGTCTATAAGCGTCTAATTTGAAGGCTTTCATTACTTTCAAAAATCTACTACCTCAACTCGAATTAAACATTTTTCCCGTACAATTACGGTTCATTTTGCTAAGGACGAGCGGCAGGGAGACTGGCTTCATATCAGAAGTAATATTTTTACAAATGAAATTAAAGTCATATTTTGTAAACATCGTTTAATATACGTTTTCTATTTCATTCAGTTGATATAAAAGAAAATATTGGTACAATAATGTAAAGTACCGATTGAATACAGAGGTTTTCTTGTAAAATTTTGAGGTAAGTTTGTATATTTTTTCCATAGTAATCGATTCAACGCTTTCACTTTTTTGCAGACTCTTAAGTTACCAGTTGGACATAGTTATGCAAACTAGAACCAACCCACAAAATGTCACTTTCGAGATAATTAGATTTTTGTAAAAACAGTGCGAAGAAATAAATAGGTAACTTATTTGAGACAAACAACGTGAGCTATGTGTAGCAATGAGAATCATATAGGGAAACTATTATATTATATAGCAATAAATAGAAAACATTATCTATCTTTTTTATTTAGTTAACGAGAACCATGTTCTAGTTTTCGTAATGAAAACGCTAAAGATCTACAGTACTTTAGTACATGTGACATGGATCCATGTAGCATATTTAAAAAAATAAATTGTATGAAGTTAAGCAACATGGTTCTTTTTAACTATTAAACAGTTGTTTATTTAGAGGTGGTACCCTGAAGGACTTTTATTTTCTCCGTTTTGGCTTGGTATATTGGTAGGATCTTTTGTGAGCGGGTAAAGGACACAAGTAATATTTAATTGCCGATGAAATGTGATTCCGTTTGTTTTGTAATTGATGTTTTGCTTTTTTTCCACACCACCCAATGGAACAGCCCCCATTGTTACATATATTATCTTTATTACAATAAATACAGAATATTTTTGGAATATACGGAGACGTACACACAGGTCAGTTATTGGCGCTGTACTATTTCAGTTTTCTAATTTATGATTTCAGCGCAAACGAGAGTTGATATTTAAAAGTGATATAAGACTCATTTACCTGATGAGTTGCCGGGGATGGATGGCCTTTATTTCTGATTATATACTCGATGATTGGAGGTATCGAGATACAGAAACAAAAAGTGTCAGATAGTACAACTAAAACTTAAAAGTTTATTTTTCAGTCAACCGTGACCATGGGACCTGTGAAGGGCCCGAAACGTCGGTTTGTTTGAAAAAACAAATATGCGCGATTTAAATCCGGAAAAATAGTTTCATTTCCTAAGTTTATTTTTAACTACACAAACTACAAAGTTTATAAAGGCTATTGGAAAACAGATAGTTGCAAAAGAATGTTTACGTAAAATTAAAGTTTCTATTGAAAATCAATTATTTGATTCAACAGTTTGGAAATTTAGGTCAACGACATCAATAAACAATTTTCTTACTTTTGTGCCGCTATATAAGACGGTATATACAATTTTTATACAATACGTGTCGGTGTTATGAGTCTGCAAATGATTCTCAAATTGGATCCGGTCCAACAGTACCGGATTACTTTTCACCTCTCAAATATTGGAAGCGAAGTTATTGCATTTTAGATATGAAATATGTGGAACAGCAGGTGTTCCACTTACTAAAGAACTTCAATTAAATTAAGTAAAAGGAAAATTTTGACCTTCAGTAATCAAGGCCGCTTTATGAAGATCAAGGTCACTTTGTATATATAGAGTGTGTAAAATTGATTTAAATCATAATGTTCTGTTAATACAATAGTGTAATAACTCAAACATATTTTTTTTCAGAATCGATTAAAAATTAATTACTCACTTCCCGTGAATCAAAAATCTTAAAATTTATATGTATGTTAACGTATCTTACAGACATTTCAACAATTTCCTACTAGGCAAATATATGTAAAAATTACAGAAAAAAAAAATTACTAGCTCACAAATAGTTTATCTCATTTTGAGTTAAGAAGATGTAATTTTAATTGTTTTTCACAATATTCTAACGACATATATTTACAACACTATTGTAATAGCATAGCGATAATATAATATTATCACTTGTTTCATTTTTCTTACCACCGTGTATTTTATTAATTTCTATTCTTCTTTCGATATTTCAAAGCGGATTTATAGACTACTTGGTCATGGGTTGACCTAACCAAAAGTTCAAAAGTCATGATAAGAAACCAGTAACTGGAATAATCGTTCAGATAAGTAATTTTACCAAAATACGAGAAAACTGAACTCTAAAATCTAGCCCACATGCAGTAAATAAAAATGGAAATTAATTAATTTGCTACTCCGCGAACCTAGTGAACGTAAAATCGTGGAAAATAGCTGAGCTTGTGAAGAAATTTTTTTCAGCCGCGTGTCGAGCAATCAACAGCCCCTGAGGATGCCTCGTGGAGAGGCGAAACACGTGTCGAGTATAATTGGTGGTGGTATTTATGATGGCAACCTATTTTTTTCCGAAACAACGTTTGTTCGAATTTTCATTACACCGAAAACCGGATTATAATGAAACC